CATACATATATATATATACATACATACATACATATATATATATACATACATACATACATATATATATACATACATACTGTACATATATATACATACATACTGTACATATATATATACATACATACATACATATATATATACATACATACATACATATATATATATATATATATATATATATATGTATATATATATATTTGTTAATAACGTTTTTATTCTTAGCCAATATTTAATTTTCTCATTAATAAATCTCCGTCCTTCCACGGATTTTACATAACAAGTTTGCCAGTTACCTTTACAAACAGAAGGCTTCCAAAGACAAATAAGAGGAAACGGAAGTCTCTTCTGCTTCTCTTCCGTAAAACCTGTAATAAGAACAATGAATTCCTAAGTTTTTCCACTGAATAAATATTTTAAAATTAAAAAGGGAAGTCAGGCTATTTAATTTGGCCGTGAAGAAAACAAAATAATAGGAAAAAAATGGGGAAAAAAAATATATATATATATATATATATATATATTTAAAACATAATAAAAGTTTGATAAATACACTTTCAATTAATTAAAGACAAAAAATGCAACCCCTGGGTAATGTGCACGGGGTCATTTGAAAGTAAGCAAGATGAGATACCGTAGGCCATAAATAGAATAAATAGCGCCAACAGTCAATCACTGTATACTTTCCATGGTCCTATTCTTCACTGTGTGCTTCAAAAAGGCCATAAGCGCGTTATGATTTAGGGTTACACCACTCATATTTAAAATTAAACCCTGTGAACAGAACTATATATATATATGTATATATATATATATATATATATACATATATATATATATATATTTGTAAAAGTTAATGTGTTGGTAAAATTATTTTCTTATTATACAAAGTCAGTTTTTTAGTAAATATGAATAAAATATCTCGAGGACTTCACGCCTTACTAAAGGCTAATGAAAATTACATTTTACAATTTTAGCAGAAATTCTCACAAAAATGTAACATTTGAATAAAAAAATATTTAGTAAAAGTCTATAATACAATTATGATTTTTTTAGAAAGACAATTTAATTTTTTCTTCAGATGACACTATTTACAACAAAATCGAATAAATATTTCAAAAATAACACATGATATATGTATTAATCTTTATTGTGGTGGTCATCTTGGACGCCATCTTGGATTTGAAGGTGACCGCGGCAAATTTGCAAGAGCACACCAACAAAATATGTTTACTAAAGAATTAAGCAAGCAAAAAAAAAACCAAAAAACAAGGTGTGCTTAGTGTGTACAAACTTAACAATGTGAGTGCACAATTTAGGCTCTTGGACCTCCGCTTAACTGTCGATTCGCGCGAATAAATTCGCCAAGTGGAAAACCGGCTTAAAGTATAGGTTTTTCCTGTTGTTCTCGGGGGTTTATGCGATATCCAAAGCTCGAGCGAGCGCCTTAGTACTAGTGGATAACATGCAACACCGAAAAGCCGTACTTAGACCCTATTATGATGGAGAGTAGGTTTAACCATCCACACAGACTTGAACCCCACTTTCTTAGTTTAGTGATTTGTAAACAAGCGTTACATTTGGCTTGTGTGTTTTTTTTTCCAGATTTGACTTCTGTCCAGTCATGTTTTGTTATCAAATGCCCAAAATGTTGGATGGAACTCCCTTTGATTGGTCTAATACGTCGATTTACAGCTTTGTTGAGCTTGCGGGTAATTTGTGGTGTCCATTATACACTTGTGATCACTTCTAGCGATAGGAGCACATAATATATCTGGTTTGTTTAAAAAGGGATGAATATTCGTGATAACTTTGTCTAAAACTGCCGTTCCTCTTGTTGGTACATAGAAGTTGGAATGAATTTCTTATCCTTGCCATTCCTAATGACTGATATTATAACGCCCCATGTTTTTTAAATAATTATTTCCTTTTGACTGAGAAACTTTATTAGAATAATATTGGTGGTTTTTTTTTTTTTTTTTTTTTTACGACACACGCGGTTATTATATTTCGATACTTGTCGTGGATTTGCTTGTTTTCTAATGTATCCGACATCTCGAAGACACACAGAGTACAGTACCTGTCTCTTATACACTGTAGGCCTAAGTAATCAATTTACAATGTTTGGAAGATAAAAATGACATCAAAAACTGTATATAATTTGTGTATTAAACAGGTGTTCACGCAACCTGTGTGTCAAAAAATGGCAATTATTATTTATGAAAAATAGATTAACTGAAAAAATGTATGAAAAAGTAAAAGTAAAGCAAATTAAAGAGAACAAACATTTTCATCGCATTCTTCTGACTGAAAAGAAATTATTCAGTTGGAAAATAAGGACAAATCCATATTGTAAACTAGGTGCGGATGTATTTGAGGACGAGCAACATAATAATGCTAAGTAGACACACCAGGTTAAGAAACTATTGGGTTTTGATCGACAAACTGTGCTGATGACAAACATGAGAATCTCACTTCCAAAATGCTTGTATTGAGTAAACGAAACATGTTGGTGGAAGAGCTTTATAGCCTTTTAACATTTTTCATTTATATAACTTTACTTACTTGTCTGAAAATACGGTATTGTAGAAATGTATAAGTTAATATGCCTATATCCAATTTTCATGAAGGAATAAGAGTATAGAAATTCATTGAAAGAACATATATATGTAAACATTATGTTGATTTTAATGACATGGATGGTTAATGATACTGTATGGGAATAATATGATTGATATGTAATAAACGGCCTTAGGACTTGAAAGAGAAAAAAAAATGTGGTTTTATACAAGGTTAGCAATAATACTAACTTTACGATTTATTTATTGAGTTTGAGCTAGCTTCCTGGTGTGTAACACACCTGATAAAGATGCATTCACATCATACCGCGTTTCCGATGTTCCGAACCGAAAATTCGGATTCTGTGTGAATGCACCTTAATACATGTAGAACTAAATACAAAAAAAATCCCGAAATTTGTATTTTATCGACAAAATAGGGTTTTGCCAAAGTTGGTCAAAAAAGTTAAGCTGTATTTTTCAATTAATTTTCTAAAACTATAAAAGCTATAGCACGATCGTTATTTACTTGGTTAACTTATGTATTTGCATTTTGTGTAAAATGAAAGTTGAAAAAAAAAATCTTAATAGCATGATAAAAGGACCGTGTTTTAAAGCCCAAGGATAACAAAACATAAACTATTATAAACATTTTTTTTTCGCAAAGTACTGTATTTGGGAATTTACTGAGTAGTCAGTACGATAGCACATCAGGCAGGGCAAAACATTACTCATAGTATAAAAACATTAAATGAAACCGATAAGAATGTTTCAACTTACCCGATGCCGAAATAACGACAGAAAGGAGGCACACTATCATGAGTTTCATGGTGGTTATTAGTAAACGCGTTTATACAGCACACATTAACTTCGGTTCTTGGATCTGCAATCAGTTATTGCTTCCTTACTTATATAGTGAAGCACAAGAACCTCCGTCAGCCAATGACAGATGTAGTTATGGTTTCACATAATATGATAATTAAATACAACAAGCGATGAAGAGGCCAATGCACTTTAATAATGAACCAAGTTTTAAAATTATTCATCCACAATTATTATAACATGCCAATCATTCGAGTACTTACTTTGTACGGTGTGGGATCTGATAAAATACAAATTCCGATATGAGATCATGGTGTATATTAAGAACAGAAAATAAAGGTAAAAATTAGGTCATGATAACAATGTAAACCCTAAATAATTGTCATGAGAACTTTTTTTTTGTTAAAACATTTGCATTAATTTCTGAGAAAAGATGCCAACATTAGATAAACTATTCAAATGGACCGTTCCGTTAAGACCCGTTAAGTTGACAGCGTAAAGGTGCGTAAACAAATGCGGCTGTGCGCGTATTCCAGATCCTGTATTCCGACTAACAAAAAAAAAAACAAAACAAAAAAAAACAATTAGTAATTTCTAAAGATAGAGTTGGATCAAAACTGTCGGAATAATATACTGGTCAAGTCGGCCCAGACCCCTTGCATTAATAATATGACAGCGCTAAAGTGAACAGAAATACATTTCGATTTAAGTATAAAAGTTCTTTTTGGATATTGAAAGCAAGGTGCCATTCCTTACACCTGCACATGTTTACTTAAATTGCAAATAACAATGTACATCATAATCTGAAGTTGCCGGTGGCATGGGGATTTCGGCCCTGTCTTCCTCAGCCTATGTGAATCCCTAGTTCCAGAGTTCGGCTCTGTTTTGATAATTCGATAAGGACATCTTTTAATTTACTAAGTACGTCACGTACGGAGGAGAGGCTCACGGGTGTTAAGGGATGGGCGAAATTCCGTTAAAACGTATGTTACATACGAGATTAAAAGGCTCGAGATGACAGTAATGAATTATTAACAAAATGAACATCGTTAAAATTCAAAGTAATCAGCTTTTAGCTGTACGTGTGAAATTGAACAGTTGTATGCCTATTAAAATATAATGGTCATTTTTAACATTCACTTCAATTAACCATGCTATCTGTGAAGTTTCCTTTGTTGACAATTATATTTTGACTCATAATTGCTGGTATTTAATAAAAGGAAAATGTCCATAATTATTGTTATGTTAGCATATTTTGATCTATTTTCCAGATGTTCTTTATGCGTGCTATTAGCATTTTTTTTAGCAATCGAATATTTTTAGCACCAACATCTATTAAAACTTTATGAAAATTTTCAAAGCGATATTGAAAGAACATTTCATTATTTTATTAGAACAATCTAATGGATATGACCTGTCGTAAACTGGAGTAGTGATATTACCGATGTATAGTCGTTTGTGTTATCAACAAATAGCTTTATATCAAGCTTCTGTTTGAGTAAATACCTTTTGAGTAACTTTTTGAGTAAATATGACTTATTACCATGCAGTGAAATAAATTATTCTGACATCTGGATTTATTTCGGCTCAGAATTATGAATTGTGTTCCATATCAGAATTTAAAGGTCAATAAAAATTATGGTTCGATATCGTGTTAAAAGAATATTCACCTCTTGTAATAAATATCATGTTTTGATGGAATCAATGTTAAAAGTGATTATTAAATTTCCGTCGTGACGCGTACGGTAACACTTGAGTGCTTTAAAATCTAACAATTTTAGTTTTTATACTGTAGGCCTATAAACTCCAGGAAATCCCCATGAGCCTTAAATTCTGGCAACCGCCTACATTTTTCGTGTAGGCCTACTGTAACTCTATTATGATAAAAGAGACTTTAATTTTTGTTGAAAACACTGCAAAAAAGATATCGGTGCAGCCTTCTAGTGATCCACCATCAGCGATCAAATTAAGATTGCATTTAACATTTGTACATGCACAGCAATATTGTCAGTCGATTCAAGGCGTGCACCTCCTACCCCCACCCCCTTCCCCACCTCGGCGCCCCTGATATGCCATTACAGTTATATCAATTGGTGTTTTATAACCAAGTCTCTTTATAGTAGTGGCACCAGCAGAGGCTGAAGGGCTATGTTGTTTAATTAAACACTATATTTACCCTGTCTCTTATACACATCTAGATGTGTATAAGAGACAGGTGGGGTTCTGGTGCCTGGGGCCACGGTGGGGTCGGGGGGGGAATTATACAGCTTGTAAACCGATAAAATACCAAGTTGGCGTATAACGAAACATAATTATACATCATTTATTTTTCACGAATATTTCGGTAGCATATTTCAACGTGATACGTTACTGCATATATCAACTATGAAGACAGACTTGTCAGACTTGCCCCCCTTAATTTTACCTCCTTAGAATACAGAATATTCCTTAGTCGCATTTTCATGTATTAAATAATTAATGACAAAAGCAAATCGACTCCCATAGTTATATTTCATTTAATATCTGTAAACTGCACCCTACGCTTTATCTTCCTCATGCCAGATGCAATGCATTTCACAACTCTTTTTTTCACTGTACACCAATCACTTAGAACAGTCTCCCTATTAAGTCAATACGTCTGTCTCCTACAATCCAATAATAAGTATTACTACTACTACTACTACTACTGCTGCTGCTGCCAGGCCCGTAGACAGGTCATTTCAAGGGGGGTTCTCTGGGCGTGGGTACAGAGGCCTGCCTAAGGGCCACGTTGGGGTCAGCCAGAGCAGTTTTTTGTGTTTAATGGGTCTATATAATGTTAAAAAAGCAGTTATGTTTTGAAAAAGATCTATGTAGTAAAAAGTTGGTAATATAATAAAATTAGAAAATATTTTCTGAGAATTGGCATGTTTAAATCACACTGAAAGATATAAAAAAGAAACCTCATCGCATAATCAATATCAATATACTCAACACATTTAATATTATAAAACAAAAAAAGCTATTCTTCTTCTTCCTCCTCTTCCTCTTCCTATTCTTCTTCTACTACTTCTTCACTCTCATTTTGTACACAGAAAGTAATAGTACTATTTTACTACATGGCTAAAAAGAAGCACAAATATTGTCATTACTGACAGGGCCATCGTTAAATTAAGTCAGAGCCCAAAATATAGCCTCATATTCAATACGTCATCTGACATCATGAGAAACTAAACTTTATATACTAGGCCTAATTTGAAATTATTATTCTAAGACTTTAACATAATACAAACTGATTAATAATAGCTGAGATTTGATGCACATTTCAGAATTATTAATCGTTTTTAGTATATCTTACTGAAAATTTATTGTCTACCAAATGAAATATGAATTATATGCATCTTTAGAAATACAATTTCTACAATATTAATATTGTTTTTATATAGATAATTGTTCGATAAATTCTATCTTTTTAACAAAAAAACCCCCGAAATTTAGCGCGTCTATTTTCATTCTAATCAATGGCGTTTGTAAATGTGCACTGACGTCATCGTCGAATCCCAGGACTTTCGACGGTAAAGCTGGCCTGCCTGCCTAGGTCCCAGGCCAACCAATAATAATTACCAAAATGTATTTTTTTTTAATCCATCCTGTTCACCTTTTACAACAAAAGCCTAAGCCTAGTACCTGTAGTACGTCCTACTGTACTTAGTCCTATGCCTACTAGTTTCTGTTCGGGGTATAATTCTGTCCCTAAATGAACGAGGAGCGAACCTAGCTAGTCAACATCTAGGCTAGGTTAATTGATTTTGAAATCAATAAACCCAGCTTAAAGGACTATCTGTTGTTTTCTTCTTTGCAACAGCGGAGGAAAAAAAGTAATTCTACAACGTTTCATGATTCTTTACCACTAAAAATTAACAAACACTCGTTTTGACGCACTTAGTTCTGTAGTGTGTGTGCTGTCTCTTATACACATCTAGATGTGTATAAGAGACAGGTATTATACAGCTTGTAAACCGATAAAACAAATTAAAAAAAATATTTATGTGTAATATTCGTTTAGCCACCATATCGTTTGTGTTAACTTTTCATCACAACAACAACCACAATAACAATAATAATAATAATAATAATAATAATAATAATAATAATAATAATACAATGAGACTAATTAAAAAAAAAATTTCCGTTCTGTTATGACAAATGCTCATTTAGATAGCCTCATGATGGTTGGAATACATCGTGATAGGTGAAGCAACCTCGACCATGACAACGTGGTTGACAGATTTCATGCAAAATTTCCAAAACATAGAATTTCACTTTCGAGAATGAGGATTTGAAAATAAATTAGATGGTTACATTGCATATTCTTTGTTTCTTGCTTTATTTAAAATGTTTTGGTTTTGGAAGCTGATGTCAACATTAGAAAGCATAGCCTACATGAAGTCATATTATAGTAACTCGATGCCTATCAAATAAGTAATAAAAATTCGTCATAATTCATCAAATATCTGTGGCTTCCCCCACCTGGGGCGCTAGCGGCCCCCTGGCCCCCAGCCAAGTGAGTCTCGATTCGCTCCACTAGCCCCTCCGTCGGGCAGTTCCTGGCACCACCCCTGGTGTGTCTGCTGTTAAAAACAAACTTCCTAGAATAATTTTGTGACTGGCTATGATGACTGAGATAAACCATGTTGAATTATTAATAATATTTTGTTTGGGATGGAAAAAAAGGAGAGTCAATTTCCCAAAAATACTCCATCAGCACATAGTTTAGTGTGCGCTATGAACAGTATGTATATGATATTTACTAACCACACAATCCACTATGCATTTGGTGGATGCTTCGTTTAGTGGCACCATTTACTCTAGGTAGACAGCGGCCAGTTTCATTACCGGTTGGTACATTTCTTACAAACATTCAGCCAAAGGCCAGTGAAAGTTGAGACGGCAGCCGGGTTTTTATCGATGTTTGCCATCCTTGTGCCATCGTAAAGTCATGGTTTGCTGGAGTTGCGTTCAGTTTAAATCTCCGAACTTCTGAAGCTGAGAATATATTCTATGAATGTAGGCTTGTATCGCAGGCTACAATTTAATTTGGGTGACCAAATAATGAATTAGGTGCTAAATTTTGATTTAATGC